TCTAGGGTACTTAACGAACTAGCTGAAGCAACCTCTGAGCCATTAGCAATTATCTTGGAGACTTCCTGGAGGATAGGAGAGGTCCCAGAAGACTGGAGAAGGGCAAACATAGTATTTATCTTTAAAAGGGGAACAAGGAGGAATAATAGACCAGTCAGCCTAACGTCAATACCCAGAAACATACTTGAGCAAATTATTAAACAATCAATTTATAAGCACCTGGAAGATAATAGGGTTATAAGGAATAGTCAGCATGGATTTGTCAATAACGCATCATGCCAAACCAACTTATTTTCCTTCTTTGGTAAGATTACTGACCTAGTGGATAGGGGGAGCAGTAGATGTGATATACCTTGATTTCAGTAAGGTTTTTGAGCCAGTTCCACATGATACTCTCATAAGCAAACTAGGGAAATGTGATGTAGATGAATTTACTATGGGGTGGGCGCACAACTGGTTGAAAGATGGTACTCAGAGTAGCTCTCTATGGTTTTCTGTCAAACTGGGAGGGCATATTAAGTGAGTCCCACAGGGGTCAGCCATGGGTCCAGTACTATTCAATATTTTCATTTATGACTTGCATAATGGAGAAAAGAAAATGCTTAAAAAATCTGTAGATGACACTAAACTGGGAGGGGTTGCAAGCACTTTGCAGGGCAGGTTTAAAATTCAAAATTACCTTGACAAACTGGAGAATTAGTCTGAATTCAACAAGATGAAATTCAATAAAGACAAGTGCAAAGTACTTCATGTAGGAAGAAAAAAAACAAATGCATGACTACAAAATGGGGAATAAGTGTCTAAGTGGTAGTACTACTGAAAAGGATCGGAAGCTATAATGGGTTGTCAATGTGCTGCTGCTGCTAAAAACGCTAATATGATTCTGGGGTGTATTAACAAGAGTGTCTTGCAAGACGCAGGAGGTAGTTGTCCTACTCTACTTGGCACTGGTGACCCCGAGCTGGAGTGCTGTGTCCAATTCTGGGCACCACAATTTAGGAAAGAAGTGGACAAACTGGAAAGAGTCCAGAGGAGAGCAACAACAACGATAAAAGGTTTAGAAAACCTGACCTATGAGGAAAGATTTAAAAAACTAGGCATATTTAGCCTTAAGAAAAGAAGACTGAAGGGGGACCTGATAACAGTCTTCCAATATGTTAAGGGCTTTTAGAGGATGGCGATCAATTGTTCTCCATGTACACTGAAGGTAAGACAAGCAGTAATGGGCTTAATCTGCAGCAAAGGAGATTTAGGCTAGATATTAAAACTTTTTAACGATAAGGGGAGGTAAGCGCTCAAATAGGCTTCCAAGTGAGGTTGTGGAGTCCCCGTCATTGAAAGCTTTTAAAAACAAGCTGAACAACACTTGTTGGGGATCGTCTAGGTTTACTTGGTCCTGCTACAGTGCAGGGGTCTGGACTTGATGACTTGTCGAGGTCCCTTCCAGCCCTACATTTCTATGAATCTTCTGAATACTGCTCTCAGGGCTTATCAACATATTCCAGTGTCAGAGGAAAGAATGAGTTGAGTATTCTTTTTCTCATAGACTCATAGACTTTAAGGTCAGAAGGGACTATCGTGATTATCTAGTCTGACCCCCTGCACATTGCAGGCCACAGAAACTCACCCATTCCTGAAATAGACCCTTAACCTCTGGCTTAGTTACTGAACTCCTCAAATCATAGTTTAAAGACTTCAAGTTACAGAGAATTCACCATTTACATTACTTTAAGCCTCCAAGTAACCTTTGCCCCGTGCTGCAGAGGAAGGAGAAAACCCCGCAGGGTCTCCACCAATCTGACCTGGGAAAAATACCTTCTCAACTCCCAATATGGCAATCAGTTAGATCCTGAGCATGTGGGCAAGACCCGCCAGGCAAATATCTGGGAAAGAATTCTCTGTAGTAACTCAGAGCCTTCCCCATCTATTGTCCTGTCTTACCTCTGTTTGGTTGAATGTGGAACACTCAACAATAAAGGGAGAAATTGCCCTTGTGTGTTGGATGGTCAAAGGGAAACAAGTTTCTTGCAGGGGTGAGAAACTAATGGAATTCAGAAAGGGTTTTTAAGAAGTTGTGTTTGAGGGGGAATCTGAGGCATTTTAATACTTTTTTTTTTTAAATCTGGTGCTCAGATTGCTTTTGTAGATGGCTATGGAAACCCTTATTCCAGCACCTATTCCAGCAACGGTACACAAGGAGCTCTGACTTCTAGAAATGGATGGTGAGAAGAAACTGAGGGAGGTACAGGGCAGCTTCACCCTTTATACCTCCTGCTGGGCACAAGGATACATGCTCCATCCCAAAAGGTACGAATAGAGAAAACTCTCCATTTGAATGCCCTGGGTGCTCAAACATCTATGTGGAATAGACATGTGAAGTCATTTGAAGAATATATATATTCAACTAACTAAATAATCTGGTGGATATATGCTACCTATAAGTGGCCATGTAATTTAAAATGCAATCTATATTGTATATGCTTTATATTGAATACATTTGGTCATACACAATGTTACACTGAGAAACAAGGTTGAAAGTGGACAGTTGGAAATTACTTCACAAGGTTAAATTCAAGAATCTCAGTTAATTTACTTCAGTATCTAGATGCAAGATTGTCTATTTTAGAGCCATTGAAAGGCTTACAAGTGAAGTGTGAATTTATTTAATACTAGGTTCCTACTGTGTTACAGCTGCTAGGCTTTTAGATATAGTGTTCTGTTTCCACTGTTGAGTTTCAAGGTATTTAGAAAAAATACTTGTTACTGTTCTCTATCTCACAGGGAAACAATGTACCATGAAACAATACAATACAGATTGCTTCTTTTAGTATTTAAATAATCTTCTTATTGAATCAACATTACGTCCATGTAGATTTGAAAACATTATTTGCTTTTTGAAGTAACTATTTTAGAAATTCAACCCTTTTAAAGTCTTTTTGTGAGTTAGAACGGTAAATACAAATCTGCATTGTTCTCAAGAGTAAGACACAGAGGTTCAGAGACTCATTTATTTAATGAGGCATAAAGCTGATGGTCAAACCTATATTACTTAGTTACATAGTTAAATGCATCAACAAGATTATCTTTCATTAGAGTTGTATGTGTGTTGAATTCTTGTCTAATGTAACATGGCACGTACACTTATTATCTTTGGGCTTCATAAAGAAACAGGAAGTTTGGCTATAAACAATGCAGTCATGGAACAAGCTTCACCAAAGCAAGTTCATCTGAAAAATATGCATCCTTCAGAAGATGGGTAGGACCAGCATTCTATGGACCAAGAACCTGTTACTTTTTTACGTGTCTAAAATTATTAAGCAATATCAGAAATAAAGTTTTTAGTTAATATGGGACCAGTTGTTTAATGAGTATTTCTTGCAAGAAGTTAATTAAAAGCAGCTGTTGGAAACTGCAGCATCAATAATGACCTAGCCAGGATTAGTATAAAGATTATGAAATCCACAATGACGACGAAGAGTACACGTTTGCAAGCTTTAATCAGCCATGGAAAAATTGCTATGGATTATTTCCTTCCATACTTTAAAACAAACCAAGAGTTGACAGACATAAGGCCTTTTTTCTTAGTTTAATCTATGAAAATATCAGTAGATCTTCAATGAACTGTACTGAAGTAAAGTCTATCCAGTTTTTTGGTTACATTTCTACAATTCAACTCCATTAGTTTATTTGCCAGAAACTGATCTTAAAAAAACTGCAGAGTTTAAGAAATGGAGTACACCCAAGATTACTCCTGCTATTCTTAAAATTTCAATTGTGTCTAAAAGGCACAATATAAAATTGCTGCTACTCAGCAAACTTCTTTTTTTTTTTAAATTATTCGGTGAGGTTTTCAATAGCAGTATACAGTAATATTTCAACTTCAGGAACATGGAAATCATATTAATAGAATATTTGTTTAAAAAGTTAACTGTGAAATAATAGCAGTGTTTTTTCAATTAAATCTATCTGCTCTTAAGGAACAAACAATTTTAGATCACATCTAGTAGATGAGTAATTTTAGAAACACATTAGTGACAAACAATACCAAGATTTTATTTATTTGTGATTATTTACAGTGATATTATATATAAACAGGAAAGTTTTCAGACATAACTAAATTTCATAATTATGAATTGCATTAAGTTTGTCCTTGGGTTCTTCCTACTAAGGATTCCAAATAATATGTCACAGTATAGACTATTTGAAGTAATTTACGCCAAATGGGAAATAAAGTGCCTTTTTTGAATTGATTAAAATTGTCCAAAAATTAGTAAGAAATTTAAAAAGGGTCACTGCCAAATAGTTAATACCCAAAAACGGATTTACCTAAAAAAAATTGCATAATTGGAGGACTATCCTTTCACTTCTAAAAATCTATTGTTTTATTAATCCATTAGTTTTGCTAATAAATGTAATTAAACAAATGCGAATAACCATAAAAAGATATATACAGTACAGAGATACATAAAATTTAACATTTAAAACAAGACATAGATCTACAATATTTTGTTATTCTGAGAGAGACAACCAGCAGAGGGAGCAAAAGTTAAACTCTATTCATGGAGCAGAGATGACAATCACTATGCTAATACACAAACAAGGAAGTAAATGAAAAAAACACCACCATCTGGCTTACCCTGCATAAAAACTACATGCAAAAAATAATGGCTAGACAGAAAAAGGAAACAAAAAACAATATGGAGTAACACTTTTATTCTAATTCTTCTAAGCGATATTTTCAAATAGTGGAGGGTAAAAACAAACAAAAGGATCCCAAACAAGTACTTTGAGGTATCCTTTCAATTAAACAAAACAAAAACAAAACAAAAAAACCCAAACCAAATGCAGACTTTTAACATACAAAAATCCCCTCATCTGAGTATCAAGAATATAGGAACATTTTCTGTTCTAAAATTATTTAGTAACACTCTGTTATGAGTATTTATTGTTTTCCAAATGCCTCTTTTCTTGCTCTTTATTTTTGGTTCCAAGAGATTTACCTGCAGGTTGATCTCTGCTTCATAGAAAGTTAAGCATGAACAGTAGTGCCGTTCTGAGTCTATATCGGTCAAAACCACCACAAAGAATGTAGGCTGCTTTCTCTCTCTGGACAACTGCCATCCTCCAGGCTGACAAAACTAATTAAAGAAAACAAGAAAATGCCAAAATATAGTTAAACAGCAACAATACTATTTTAGAAAAGCCTCACAAATAGTTTCTAACAATATAGCAGAAGTTTTCTTGAAACATGAAATGTAAAAAATAAATACAAGAAATAAAAGTATCTGTGGCCAACGGTATGTAGTGATACTCTGCAAAACAAGGACAGAGCTACATACAGACCTTAGGGACAATCATCAGCTGGTGTAGACTGCCATAGCTTCTTAGATTTCAATGGAGTTATGACAATTTACACCAGCTGATAATCTGTCCCGCCCCCCGCCCCCGCCCTTTAAATCAGTATTCAGGTATTTCCAAGTGCATTGATCAAACACTTATGGCAACAGGACTTGTGCACATGTAGGGAGAGAAAAATATCTCAGTCCAAATTCTGATGTGGACTTTACAAGAGATGGGGAGGGGGAGGGATAGCTCAGTGGTTTGAGCATTGGCCTGCTAAACCCAGGGTTGTGAGTTCAATCCTTGAGGGGGCCACTTAGGGATCTGGGGCAAAATCAGTACTTGGTCCTGCTAGTGAAGGCAGGGGACTGGACTCGATGACCTTTCAAAGTCCCTTCCAGTTCTAGGAGATAGGACATCTCCATTTTTTTTGCACCTTAAAATTATTTCTATATTCTCTTGCCACATCTCTTAACAAAATAAATTGAGACTACAATCATATGAAAGATGAAACAGGTCTTGAAAGTCTGGTAAAATACTTTTAATATTTTGCAGGCTGGTGCTTATTAATATAACTGGATAGGTGTCTACAGCAGTTTCCCTTCCTGTTGCCTATTATGGAGCGTGAAAGTACCTTCAAGTCTGAAGATTATTCATCAAAAGAAATCCAAGCAGACTAACCAAAAAATATGACACACTTGCATAACAAGGACTATTTTGGCTGCCCTCAACAGGTCCCAAGTTGGTACAGTGCATTTATAACATGTAAATTGCTAAAACAGGTACTCTAATTGCTACTTTGACCAGAATGTTCTCTTTTAAAACACCCACAGTTTATTTTCTATACAATTCCTTATCAGTTCTGTAATTAAATATGAATGAAGTAGTCACACAAGTTGATCTTCTGAACTACAATGTAACATTACAAATTGAGAAATCTGAATAAATTAATTCATTTAAACAGAATACACATTTATTTTTTTTTGCTACAAGTAATTCAAATTCAAGCTGAGCCTTACTTATGCAAAATTAATTGTTAAAACTCTAACATGCAACTCATTTTTAATTTAAAGACATACATTATCATTTGCAAAGTATTTTTGCACATTAGCTTTCTGCAACAGTGGAAAAAACCTTTCCAAGTGACCCGGGCTAGAATGAATGGCACGGAAAAAGTGAAAATGGAAGTGTTATGTACTCCTTTAGATAACACAAGAACTAGGGTCAC